ATTCTTGAGTGTCTTAATTTAGAGATAAGAGACCAAGTGGAGCTACTACCCTACAGGGACCTAAATGATTTAGTCTAACTTTGTGTAAGGGTATAACAACAAAGATTAAGAAAATCCTCTTTTAAAAGAGAAAACTCCCACTCTTCATCTATAAAGAAAGATTACAAGAGGGAGGGAAAATCATTTGAAAAGAAGAAAGTTTTGGAACCCTCCAAGGATCTAGCTAGAGAAAAGGACAAAGGGAAGGGAAAGATCACTCCACACACTAGTAATGGGACTAGTGATATAAAATGTTTTAAGTATTTAGAGAGAGGCCACATTGCCTCCCAATGCCCCACCAAGAAAGTCATGATGTTAAGGGGGCATGACATTTATAGTAGTCAAGAAGAGACTACTACCTCCTCTAGTGAAAGTAAGGAGGAAACAAGTGATCAAGAAGAAAATGTGGAGTTGACTTTTCCTTATGAAGGGGAGCTCTTAATGATTAGAAGACTCCTTAACAACCAACCTAGTGGTACCTTATCTCAAAGGGAGAACATATTTCACACTAGATGCAATGTTTCTAACAAAGCATGTTCTCTCATTGTTGATAGTCGATCATGGTGCAACTATTGTAGTACTAGGCTAGTTTATAACTTGTGTCTAACTACTATGCCTCATCCCAAACCTTATCAATTACATCGGCTTAATGAGGATGGAGATATAGTAGTTGACCAACAAGTAAAGGTCAAGCTTTCCATTGGAAATTATGAAAATGAGGTATTATGTGATGTAGTACCAATGAAAGCTTGTCACATCTTGTTAGGTAGGCCATTGTAATTTGATAAGAAAACTATGAATAATGGTCTAACTAATGAGATCACCTTTACTCATAAAGAGAAGAAACTTATGCTTCATCTTCTTTCTCCTTAAAAAGTGGCAAAGGACCAAGCATAAATGAAACTCAAAAGGGAAAATGAGAGAAAATTACAAAAAAAAAATAGGAAGAAAAGATAGAGAGAAAAAGTCTGTGAAAACTAAGGATAAAGAGATATCTAAGGAGAAAAGAGTCCCCTCCCTAGAAGTTGTTCATCAAGATAAGACAATTTCAAAACAAGACCTCTTGATTGAACAACCCTCTTTTATCCTTCTCTGTAGAAAGACTCTCACTTGCACTGTCACAATTATTAGAAGTGAGACTCTACCTAAGGGTGTCAAAAATCTTTTGAAAGAATTTGATTATCTATTTCCTCCCGAAGGTCCTATGGGCCTTCCTCCTATTAGAGGGATAGAGCATCAAATTGACCTTGTCCCTGGAGCTAGCCTACCCAATAGGCCAACTTATATGACAAAACCCCAAGAGACTAAAGAAATAGAGTCTCAAGTCCAAGAGTTGTTAGAGAAGGGCTGGGTTCGAAAGAGCTTAAGTCCTTGTGTTGTTCTAGTGTTGTTGGTTCCAAAGAAAGATGGCAAGTGGAGAATGTGCTATGATAGTAGAGCCATCAACAATATCACTGTAAAATATAGACATCCTATCCCTAGGCTTGATGATATGCTAGATGAACTTCATGAAGCCATCATATTTTCTAAAGCTGATCTTAAAAAGGTGATGAATGGAAAACCGCTTTCAAGACCAAGTTTGGACTATATGAATGGTTGGTTATGTCTTTTGGGCTTACCAATGCTCTTAGTACTTTTATGCGTCTCATGAATCATGTCCTAAGGGATTGTAGAGGAAAATTTGTAGTAGTTTATTTTGATGACATCCTAATATATAGTAGATGCTTAAGTGATCACATAGGACACTTAAGGCAAGTCTTTAGTATCCTTAGGAAAAAAAACCTTTTTGGAAACTTAGAAAAATGTAACTTTTGTGTAAATAGTGTTGTATTTTTAGGTTTCATAATTATAAAAAGGGGGTTCATGTGGACTCCGAGAAAATCAAGGCCATCCAAGAATGGCCCACACCTCAAAGTGTTGGAGATATTAGGAGCTTCCATGGGTTGGCAAGCTTCTATAAGAGATTTGTTCCTAACTTCTCCACACTTGCCTCCCCATTAAATGAGTTGGTAAAGAAAAATGTAGAGTTTCAATGGGTAGAGAAACAAGAGAGCCTTCCTAACTTTAAAGGATAAGCTCACCCATGCACCACTTCTAGCTTTGCTTGATTTTTCCAAGACTTTTGATCTAGAATGTGATGCCTCTACGGTTGGCATAAAGGCAATTTTGTTCACCCAGTAGCTTATTTCAGTGAAAAATTAAAAGGTGACTCCCTTAACTACTTTACCTATGACAAAAAGCTTTATGCTTTGGTTAGGGCCCTTCAAACTTGGGAACATTATCTTATTCCCAAGGAATTTGTCATTCATAGTGACCATGAGTCACTAAAATATTTGAAGGGTCAAGACAAACTTAATAAAAGGCATGCTAAATGGGTAAATTTCTTGGAACAATTCCTATATGTGATCAAATACAAGAAGGGTAAAACTAATATCGTTGTTGATTCCCTATTAAGGAGACATACTTTACTAGTCTTCCTTGGATCCCAAATCTTAGGATCTGATCACATTAAGGAGTTGTATACCAATGACTCTGAGTTTAATGAGATATTTACCCAATTTTTGCATAAGCCTAAATGTTTCTAAGGGGTACTTATATAAAGGGACATATTTGCATATCCCAAGGATCCATTAGAAAGCTCCTTGTCAAAGAAAGTCATAAGGGTGGTCTCATGGGACATTTTGGAGTTAAGAAAACTCTAAGCTTGTTAAATGAAAAATTCTTTTGGTTTCCCATGAGAAAGGATGTTGAGAGGTTTTGCTCTAGATGTATAACTTGTTTACAAGCAAAGTCTAAAGTAATGCCTCAAGGCTCCTACACACCCTTACCTATTGCTAACTCTCCATGGGTCGATATAAGCATGGATTTTATATTGGGCTTGCCCAGAACTCAGAGAGGCATGGATTCTATCTTTGTGGTACTAGACAGGTTTAGTAAAATGGCTCATTTTATTCCCTACCACAAGATAGATGATGCTAGAAACATAGCAAGGCTTTTCTTCAAGGAAGTGGTTAGACTTCATGGTCTACCCAAAACCGTTGTGTTAGATAGGGACACAAAGTTCCTTAATCATTTATGGAAAACTCTTTGGAGTAGACTAGGAACTAAACTACTTTTCCCAACTACCATATTAAGGGCAATCCTTAAAGGAAACCACAAGTCTTGGGATGAGTACTTGCCCGATATAGAATTTGCCTACAACAGGTAGTTAATAATGTTGAGCTTGAAGCTTAAAGGAGTTTTGATGATCACAAGATGTGTGTCAAGGGCAACTACAAACAACAACAACAACAACTTGGAAGCACAAAAACAAAGTCAAAGAAAAGTCAATACTATGTAATAGGAATTAGTGTATAAATTGTTTTGATTGGTTTAGTGTGTTGTGTATGCTGTGTGCATGAGAAAATCTATATCTAAGGTAAGTAGAGAGTATATGATGATGAGTTAAAAAGGTTAGAAAGTTATTTTGAGGCTTAAAACGAAGTTTTGAAAACTAACTCAAAATAATCGATTATCGTTAAATATAATCGATTATTCCAGCAACAGGCAAAATGGGATGCCTTGCTGCAATAATCGATTATTTGCCAAAATAATCGATTATCCCAGAAATAACTCTCTGGAATAATCGATTATCCAGCAAAATAATCGATTATATTGTTCTTGGTTGGTTTCCAGAAAACCTGAAGAACAAAATAATCGATTATTCTTTAAAATAATCGATTATCTGGGTTTGAGACTTTTATAAATAGTTTGAACTTTTAGAAACTTCACACAAGAGTTAGAACTGATAATCAAACTGAGAAAATCATTTTTGTGGAGTCTTTGTGACCATCTTGGA